GTCGGGAGCCAAGATAAGCATCGCAGTCCACAAAATACCCAGTGCTGTATTATACCTAACTTCATCGGAGTGCACTCGAGCGACATCATGAAACATTCCGTGTATTGTACGAGTACGGTGCGGGTATTTACCTGTACGGTAGTTCACTTTCCAACCTGCCTCCAAAAACGGTATCACAGGTGCTGTACTCGTACCGGTATCACTTGTAGCGTGAAAACCCGGACAATAGACCACGGGATAAGACGCCCTGAATCACCCCCACCCATTAGATTGGGCTGAGGCGGAAAAAAACAACTGTGCTTCAGTTCCCATGAGACGAATAAAAAACGAAAAGGTGCCATGCAGCGGATGCCCAGGGGGGTAATCCCAACGCCCCCCCCCCCGACAACGCTATACCGGGGAGCGTCTGTGCAAGAGGGGCGAGGTTGGCTGATGTGCCATCTTGGCGACATGACTCGGGTGAACCCTTCTCATTTCACATCAAAAATGAACATCCACGCATCAAGAAATTTCCACCTTATCGCTATGATGAAAATCGCTAAGATCCGCTGAGCCCTTTAGAATCGTATGCGGTAGGGATTTGATTCTGTGATTCAATGACAACGGGTTCTACCAATAAGATTTTGAGAACACAATACCAGATGTGTCGATAGTGGGCAATGGACCCCTCGAATCCCACACGGGTTTCCCGAACCGGGAGTCTGATGATTCTTTGCAACGACCCACAGCCCAAAACCGCTGTGCTATCACCCCTCATACGAGGGCGGCAAAAATCACATGATTTTCACCGAGGTTCCCCGAGCAATTGCAGACCTGTTGATCAATAGAGGGTTTGCGCAGCAGGACCTAGGTGCCAGTTAAATCGATGAATATGTGTTATTCAATTTGTCTTGGCCACCTAGGTCTGGACGGAGACCTGGCCGGGATCTAAAATGTAGCTTGAGGCACCTGGAGAATTCTGTAGGGTAACTAAGATGAAAAGAAAAAAAAAAAAGTGAAAAGAGGCAAAGTGTAAAACTAAAAACAAGGAGAAACGACAACAGAAAAGCCAGCAAATCCAGACAAAATGAACGAGAGCCAACCACCTATTGCGAGTAATCCAATTACAATACCTGATAGTCCTATGGCTGCATCTCCTCCAGCATCAGAAGATCCTTTATGTCCTGTTGGTGGGACTCCCGAACCACAGAGAGATATACTGGGCCCGAGAGCTGGCAGAGCTGGATGGGCAGCAAAGTGGGCAGGCTGGATGGACTCTGCCCTTGTCCGCCAGGTGTTAGCAACCGACCCCATTAACTGTGGACGAGGTAGAACAGTTGCAAAATGGGCAGAGGTCTCTGAAGTACTTGCCCAACTGCAGCCTCAGCCGATAGTTCGCAGTGCGGAGTCTTGTCGGCAACGAGTTAAGAAGCTTGTGGATATTTATAAGGTTAGTAAAATTGACTCTTTGTATAAATTAGCTATAAGGTATACTAGTATCAAGAAACTTACAAGGTAGAACAATAGAAAAACGAACTCCGATCACTTCAAAAAAGTGGGACGAATGAAGAATTCAGAGAGTTTGAACAAAATATGGTGGAGCTCACAACGCGGTGGGATCAAAGTAGTATTGATCCCACCACTCGCAAGTTAGCACAAGAAAAGGCCGCACAGCTAGAGCTTGATGGAAGGAGGGTGAGGGAGGATTCAATGCGGGGACTAGTTCGGAGAAGACAGGAGGAGAGAGATCAGGGAGGGGCGGTAGTTGGTAGTACTCCTGTACCACCAACAAAGAGGCCTAAGAATGGAGGAGTAAAACAAATAGAGGGACTATTAGATGAGTTTATGGCAGGAATAAGGGAGGATAAGGAGGAGTTAGAAGAGTTGCAAGCAAAACAGGATCAGAAGCATGAGGATCTTATGAGAGGGATTCTTGGACTTACAGAGGAGATTCGGGAACAAAGTGAGCGGCGGTCCCATGATGCTTATCTTGAACGAGAGGCTAGAAAGGAAGAGTTAGCTATGATTTTAGAAGCTTTGCGAAAGGATGGTGAAATTTAATTTCAAAAACTATGTACATATTGATAACATAAATTAGTTATGAAAGTATGCTGACAATATTGGAGGTTCTAAAAGTCCTTCCTCAACCAATTCGTTTTGATAAATTATCTCATCTCTGTCAATATTAAAATATTGAGTGATTTGAGGTTTATGTAAACATACATGTGCATTATGAAGAAGTGCAGCAACTCGAAACTGTACTCCAACAGGCTGAAGTAAATGTTTCTGATTTTTCACATAGTCCAAAAAGCCAAAAGTATTTACCATTTCCTTAAAAGCCCACTCTGCCACAATTCGGAGCCGAGACATTGCACGATTCCATTGCTTTTGATCATTCGTGATCTGAGCCCCCTGATATGGTAATAAAATAATGCTATTTATACTATATGCAGGGTCACCATACACCTGAAGGTGTGTACCATCAGGTGCTCGTGCATGTCGTTCAAGAAGATTTGGTAGGTTTGACTCCTGCCATAAGAATGCATCATTTCGTCTACCATCTACAGGACCAAACAAGTGGCTGATAAGCCCATCCGGAGTCACAATTGCATGGTATTTCAGGCAATGTTTTCTCTTCCATCCATTGTAACACGTTCTCTGATGCTGTGTTGGACGGGCAATACCACAGATCGTACCATCGATGAACCCCCATACAGTTCCAATTGGTGCTCCTTTCCGCTCTATTGTACGGGCATATAAGGCTAATCGTTCTGGAGTCAGGCGCTGCACATCCCACATGAGTAAGTGCTGCCATTTCTCATGGATGATCGTTTGGGTCACGGTACTGATACGTGATACTCGCTCAATAGGCCAACCGAACTTCAAGGCAAGATCGCATAATCGATTTGGATATGTAAGACGTGCTAGAAGCATGCACAAGGCTGTTCTCCGATCTTCGATAATTCGATTGTCCGCTCGAACAGGATCTGGAAGTTGAAGTACCTCCACTAGCTCCTCAACTTCAATTCTGGTAAATCTTTTACTCGTAAGTATCTTTTCTATTTGATATTCTCTTCTATTATATTAACTATTTACATATTGATTAGGCTAACACATACCGGAATTGATTTCTCCACTCTTCTTCTTCTAAAGTGTCCAAATTCAATCTTCCTCCTTCCCGTATCGCACCTCTTTTCCGGCTATTATCTCGAGAGATCGTCAGACGAAGCTGTTGTAGCAGAATGACTCTGCGGGTATTCCTTTTCCGTAGGAACTGTTGGGCAAGCATGGTTTTGACTGGCTTCGTATTCAAGGTATGATAATCGTCTGATGTTGTTACCGGTTAATCTACTTCAATGTCATATTTTGTCTTGTACTAGAGATATTACGTTACTATTGTGCTAGTTTGACATAACTATGGTTTCAGGCCACCTGGACAGTATGCACAAACTCTTTCTATGACCTAGGTCTCAAATGGGTTAACTGGCACCTAGGTTTCTGGGCGCAAACCCTCTAATTAGACTACCGGTATGTGTTTTTGGACAAGCTGTAGGTGCTTATATAATCGACTATTTTTGTCGAAAAACATGATTGTATGAGACCATGTTAGTAAATGTATGATGCAGCATCTAAACACCTGGAGCAAATCATTCCTCTCTACTACCCCGTGGGATGAAAAATTCTTATGGGAGCCTGTAGGATTACTCGTGGGGCACCTCTCGTTGCTCGAGCTCCTGGTAAAAGCGCTGTTCAAGCAAGAGTAGTGGCACCGCATCACACGGGCTAAAACCGCTCTCTACCATAGTCATACAGACCGTAGGAATCGGAAAGCACTCTGACCACTACGATACACTAACATACCGTACTCCCTCCCTCCCCCACCACGTAGTCTACCATGTAATACAGAGCCAACCAACCAATTCAGGATGTGCTGAAGGGCAGAGCTGCACCAGCAGTGAGCCGGGCTGAGCGATGCTCCCACGCTCCAACCCCACTTCTTCCGCCGCCAAGGGGCTTAGGTGGAAGGGCCATGAAAACAGTCACATTGGTCGACGACCCCTACTAAACAGAGGTTCAGGGAGTTTCTTCTCAGAAGTGTGCCATAGCACATCGCTGCCCCGGTGTCTGAGAAACGCGAAACGAGCCGACCCATCCTAGCTCCGCATTATAGAAAACGCGCGCAGGAAAGCTACCACCCGCGGAAATCAACCACAGGAATCACCCCCTTATCGTGACAAATATTCCTTGAGGCGGGGTATCGTATTACCTGTGCCTAGCCGGCAGCGCGGGAGTGGCAGGTACTCGAGTAGTCTATGTAATGCTCCCGAATTTCAAAGATATCCGGATCTCGTGTCACCAGGATTTGTGCTTTCACTCGAGTACCCGAGTAGTGGGCCTTGCCATTAAGCTGTCCGGATACTCATGGAATTTGAGTGATACGAGTAGAGGGGGGGTTACGGCCCGGAAGCAGATCCAGTAGGTGGGGGCGAGGCGAGTGGAGCCCCTTCGAAAGTTGCTCGGGGATGTACTGTACCGTACTTGTACATTCTCGTACCGTCAGTAGAGAGAGGGAGGATCATGACACCGTGGCGTGAATCCGGAAATTGAAACAGGGTTATCCGAGATTGGGCTAACCCTCTGTCCAAGAACTTCCTCTCCCGTGATGGCCCTTCTCATCGTGCCTACCGTCCCCCACAACCTTGTATTATACTGGTATCATGATTTTGCTTCGTTTCGGGTGGGACCTATTGCCAACGCTCGCACCAGTGGTCCCCGCCTGGAACAGAGAGGTCGCGTGCCAACGGCCGAATTCCCAACCCGTATCATAACTCAATCACCATCAATTCACTTAGGAACCTCCCGTCTTCCTCCCACCGCAATACCATAACACCATCACAATTTCTCACCCGCATCACACCCCCTCACTCGCCTCATCATTGTTATCACAATCATATATTGCCGTCGCCTATAATTCGTCACGTTACACACTCAACACAAAAAAAAAAACAGCACACACATAGTAACCGGAAAAATGATGATAACGCCTCCCCGCTGCTGCTCTCATGATACTGCTGCCACTAGTGGAAACCATACAATTTGTACAAAATTGGGGGACTGAAAAATTGAAACCCTTCTCGTAGTGAGAAGGTATGGTATATATAAGGGAGGGAGGGGCGGGGTGATGGAATGGGGTGGGATGGATACATGACTTTATATCGATGAAACCTGAAACGTCTAGTTGAACGTCTACCCGAAGGTGGCCACTGCTAAGTTGGGAGAAATTGGGGGGGTAAGGAGAAGGATGGAGGAAGAAAGGGGAAAAGAGAAAAGAAACTCCATGCTATACTATTGCTTGCGCCATTGTACACGATTTTTTTTTTTTTCCTATTTCGGGAGTGGGACTCTCGTTATCTGGGGTTCCCAAGAACGCTGTGCTTGAATGAGTCTGAAGCTCTATTGCGACTTCTCTGCCTTCACGCTAGTGGCCGAGATGAGCTTCAGTTCCTTCAGCATATTCTCCCTCGTACTCAGGACCAGTGCGTCCACATCACCCGTTGTCAGGCCCTTGGTATCAATTGGATCCAAAACCTACTCTAATCAGTACCTTCATTCCCACTTGCTTGCCTACTCGAATAATTTTAGACCCACCTTAACATTGATAACACCAGGCTCAAAGGTTCTCTCCCGGAGGTGCAAGATATGCGAGTAATTCGCGACGACAACCGGTACGATAGGAACACCCGCTTGAATAGCCAGATGGAAAGCACCCTTCTTGAATGGTAAGAGTTCCGGCTTGGAAAAGTATGATCGAGTGCCTTCCTGAAATCACACGTTGTTAGACAACAAGTCCCTTGGTGATGTAGGGACTAGTGGGCGGCGGCAAAGGTGTGACAGCATACCGGGAAAATCCAAACAGACTGCCTGTTGCCCTTGATCTCCTGGATCGCACTATCAAACGCCGCGATGGCTGATTTCCGATTCGTCCTATCAATGAATACCGTTCCACTCAATGCCACTAAGGAGTACACGATGTTAGTTAGCACTTTCCCAAACCTCATAGTCGAAACTCCACCTCAGCCATCTTCACCGGTCGGAAAAGGAGGTAAAAACAGAAGGGCACAAACTGAACCAGCCCAAAAACGGAATATACTTCAAACTCCGTTTCGCCGTAACCGAGCAATGTTTTGGAAACACCCTCCCTAAGAAAACAATATCCAACTCGCTCTGGTGGTTGCTGACGAACACCGCCGGTCGGGTATCTAATGCACTCTCATTCTCCACCTTGAACTCAAGCCCGATGACCGGACAGGCTAAACTCTTGAACGCTCGTGCAGTGGTCCATTGTGCTATGCTGACTTTTCCGACTAGCCGGAGGGCTACCGACGCCAGGACCCCGTATGCCGCGCATGTAACAAGGAGGAAATAGCAGGACAAGATGCGTGCGTAGAATCGTCCGGTCTTGAAGAAGCGGCCCAGGATCGTCAAGGCCATAATTGTACCGATGGGGAATGATAAGATGAGGAGGAGGAGGAGGTTGACCATAATAATTGCTTCCTGTCGAGGTGGTAAAGAAGAGGTAAGGGGTGAGGAAGGTTGGGCGGGAAAAATGGGCTGGCTAGTGCGAAGTGCAATGACCTTAGTGATGATCTGTCGCTTTACTGTACCTCAGAACGAAAAGGGATCGCGGATGGATTGATGGTGGATGGAGAGAAGCAGGACCTATAAGTTTATTCGGGGGGAGCAAGCTCTCGCGGCCATGTGTCGCAGTTTCAGTCTCGGGCTCGTGAGCAAACTTTGTCGCGAGAGTGCCGCCGCTGTCGTGATCTTCTTTTGAACAATCTGGGGATGGGAAGCAAGAAGGCTGTCGAGTGTCAAGTGAGCAACCAAGCAGTCTTGGCAAGCGAAGGATAATTAGTGCAGTAAAAAAAAAAGAAAAG